AAAGCGCATGAAGCTCGCTACAAAACGCATATTTACTTGGTATTAAAAGCTCTTTGCTCAAAAAAAGCTTCATCAAAAACATGGAATTTTTTTGCTTCGAACCTATGCCTATTGCCCACTGTGAGGGAATTCACTTTTCTCACTATACACTTCAATACTCATTTACGATCGTATTTCACAACCATTTCAGCCCGACCTTACATAGGTTGATAGGTTATCAAATATTGTGCATCCCATGGAAATGATTTCAAGACTACATAGTACCTTTTTTGCAATGATCTGTAACGAGAAAAGTCACACAATTCGATGAGCATTGATTGTCTGTCTATGCTTATATTGAAAGACGCGTTTCTCCGACTTGAGATCTCGAAAAATCCGATCTTCGAAACGCGTACGATGTGAAAAATATTGTGTTTGATCGCTAAGGAACTTACAGTAAATAGAAGTTCAAAATTGAAAAGAGAGCATTTTTCGCACTCGAGAAGCAAGGAGAATGTGCCCCTATACACGGAAATAGTTCGGCTAATACTTATATGATACTTTGGAATATTAGATTGTGATATGGTATTGTTTTGTTTCCTATGAAGTCGAACTGATTTTAAAGACGACTACCTTACTAAATGTAAACTATGGTCTTCTTGTTCGACAATGCAATTAAATGAATTCGTTTAATTTGTATCATAGACACAAAACAAAAGAAAGGAACATTGAACATGTCAAGAAATAATAAAGTGACTCCATCGAAAGCCGCAACCGATTCTACAACAACATCTTCGCCGATACCACAAGAACCAGACAATGAATTTAATGAACGTCAATATCTCATAAATTACGTGAATAGGAAGACTTGTTACCATCCCTTGGCAGCTGAGGAGGCAGAAATAATCAACCGACAACAAAAATTTGCATTTCAATGCAACCTATGGACATTAACCGAGAAACGAACAATTGAATGGAATGATAAACCAGATGATGACAAGCCTGTGGATGGTGAAGAAGTTGGAGATCTTTTCGATAAGAAATATGAGTATCAGGCGCCGGATACCATTCTGTCAGAAACAACACACGCTAGTGGACCACTGAATAATACAAGAAAAAGGGAAGTTTGTCCTAATTGTCAAGGAAATGGAGCGAAAGCATGCTATTTCTGTAGTGGGTCTGGAAAAAAAATGGGAAAAGACTGTCCGGCTTGCCATGGTCAGGGTTCTCCAGCATGCACTAAATGCTCCAAACAGGGTCATATTATTCGTTGGGCTCATATAAAAATAGAATGGCGTACAGTTCACACTGTACACTATTACAAAGACACATTTCTGCCGGATAAATACATTCAAAATGCAAGAATGAAAACGCCCGTTTTCGATGGTGATGATGAATGTAAGCAGCAATCATTGGATGCTACCTTTCCACACCTTCTTAAAGAAATCACTCAGACTAGTCCTGTCAAATTCTCGTCGTTTGTCGCGGAAGTATTTAAAAAAAACCATTTAAATAAAGTGAGCGATTCAACGAAGATACGTCGGATCAAGTGTTTGATTCAAAAGCTCGGCATCACCCAAATAACCTATCAATCTGGTACGCTCACCAATCGACATCCTCGCGAGGGTAAGTAATAATATTCCCTTGATTTCAAGCTCTCGACTGTCCATGTCTATTTGTGTGATTGTATACTTGATGTATAGGTCCGCATATGTTTACGTTTCTCCTATATGACAATGACAAGGACAATAATCCTCAGGTCTATGAAGACGATTATCCCCTTCATCTTTGTGGCTGTATGGGCGCTTCGTGCTCACAACAATCAAGCTGCTGCAACATTTCTTAGTTGACATGATACATCATTTAATGAAAATAATAATAACAATATATTTGGTTTGCTAACACAATGCTTGTAGAATTGATGCATAAATACGTGAAAATATCAATAAAGATATGGTGTTTTCTTGCACATCTGATATCGAAATCTTTGTACAATATGCATTATGTCTTCTTGAATGTGTTCATTTCAGAGTGCATCCTTAGGAAATCCGTATTGTCGAAAACCTATGATCTGAGCATTAAGAAACATTTTAAGGTGTCGAATCTAACAAGAAGCGAAGAGAGCAGAAACAGTGTTGACGACGCCATCACCATATTACGCAAAAGAAATAGAAATATTCAACAGTTTCTGACGATGTGGCGCATTCAAAGTAACGGCTTTGTATGTCTTGCCATCACAATATAAATCAGTATTTTGAAGATGAATGCTGTTTCTACTGTAGTCAACTTACGAGGAAACATCTCTAACTGCAAATCACTTTTCGGTTCAATATATGCTTAAACGATAGACCTCAGCGAGTTATTATATACTCGACAAGGGTTTGGTTTTCCAGACCTCCGGAGTAGAGATACACGATTATTACTATTGCTAGTTTTGCTGTACTACTGTACTAATATATTCGATATCTTGTCTAAACATGCTCCTATCTGGCTCAAATTTATTTTAGTACTAAGGCACTGTGTATTGCTTAAGATCCCAGCATTTAAAAATAAGTCGTTGTCGGTGTGGGTATGAATGTAAGTGTTGATGTGGTTGTGTGGGTGTGGGGTATGAGGTGTGGGTCTGTGAGGGTGGATGGCTAGATGTAGAGATGATCCAAATTACGACATCCACACAATCACGTCCAGATCCACACCCTACAACTACATCGTAGAAATCGAAAAGAAACATCAAGTGAAGAGATAAAGAAAAATGTTCAATGGAGCGAGATTGGAAACAAGTAAGTCGTATACAATGATAGGAAGAGGCGAATACCGTCACATAACGTAATTTGCAAGTGCGTCAAAATATAGCCTGGATGCACATAATAGAGACACAAAATCGTATTCTTTTTCTGTTTCTCTTTACTGTCAGCATTTTTCGTGCACTGCCAAGCGAAGGTTTAAGTCAACTGCTGAAACATTCTTGGACATACAAAAGCCAGGATCGTCATCATTAGCATATTTGTACAAAAGCAAGTTGAGTTGATGGCCTTAGACTTTGAAACTGAAAACAAAACGAACCGTAGCTATATTAAAATTAAAAGAAACTCTTTAAACTTCTTTTTGTTGGTGTTGAGGTCATGATATTTCTTGTGGAGGCTGATGTGGTTGCGCTTGTGAGTGATATCAATGCTGAAGTGCTTGATCTGCTGCTTATCATTATTCCAGACGAAGTCGTCGTACTATTTAGGTTTTGTGTTGTTGCCGAAGCGAAAGATAAATTGATTCCATACAAAACTGTGCAATTAAAATTTAAACCAGGAACAGATGTATTCATGTTTACATTGCATTGTTTGTTATGCAAAAGGCCTCTGCACCGAGAGCAGATTGTAGTCCTCATAGGAATAGAATGAAATACAACAAATTTATCGAACTTTCGTAGACCTGAAACTGTGTCGAATAGCCAGTGCTCGCATAATAATAGGCATAGCCCTGAAGAAATTTTCATGCAGATGACAAGCACGAATCATAGTCTTCGAATGAGTAGCCAGTTCGTCGCCCAGTAACGGTACTAATACCTCATCTGGTAGAATAGGCGGCGAAGTATGCATAGTATCAGGTAGCATTTACCACAGTATTCCAGAAAAGAACACTCGTATAGAACATGCATTGATAGTACTTTGGGTGGGTGTACTATTCACATTCATTATATCATTCAGACATGGTACGGACGAGTTGAAGACGAAGAAAAGTAGTAAAAGACAGGATGGTGGCAGATATTTAGTTGTGGAAGTCTAACATGTCAGCATGTTGCAATTGCAGCTGCCAGTTCCACAAATGCACAGCGAGGCATTCTGAAAACTTTTGTAGAGTAATGATGTGCAAGAACCGTATCATACATCCGTTGTCGAACTCGAAAAACCTGTACAGCGAGTGCGACTCATGCGAACCCAACTGTACTGCTTTGGATAATGCGTAAACGTATATCGAAAGGTAGAAATCGAAATATCATGAAAGGTTAGTCATTCATTAAAGGCAGTGTCTTGCCAATAGAGAAGAGTATCATTCGGATTTCTGTTGCACTAAATGACGCAATAAACAGCACCAGAGTAGATCATGGTACCGCCGCTTCCAGGTGTATAGCGGCTGAGATTCTGTGCCGTCTGTAGCATGGTCGTCCCATACGCTGATGCTAAAAATGGTGTGGGTGGGTATGGGTCTTCTGCATCCTAACATTCACACCCTCGCCCCCACCCCACCCCATCCCCACTCACACCCCACACCCAAAATCTGTACCATCAATTTTTGCAAGCAATGATTAGTTTTTTTGTCGAAGTGCTTTATCAGATAAACATTTGGCACAAAAATTCAAAGAAGATTTCCTAAAATCACTAATAAGACTCATCATGTTTTATGTACTTTAACAGACGTAAGAAAGGAAACTGAATCTACGTAGAATCAAATCAATAATCATACATCGTTTTCACTTTCGTTTTTTCGGTTTATAACCTAACCAACCATTCGATAGGTATTTCAGCGTGTTCATTTCAGCTTTTGATGACTATCGAAACTTTATATAAGCACCTTGGATTCTCACTTTCCGATAGATCAAAGGCTTGGCGATAGATTAGTACAACACGAAGTTTGTGACAAGTCTAATGATTTTCCCCGAGAAGTCATAATTTGATCACAATAAAAAAAATGAACTAATAGAAGAAAAACACTTTTTTTCGTTTAGGAGTGTGAGTGCGACTACAAATGAAGACAAAATCCACATTCACATTCTACTTGGTAGATATCAACAGAGATAAGAAGATCAGTAACAACTACTTATAAGTCTCGAGTGACCAGAAACTTCGAGCCGTAATAAGATTATCAACTAGAGGATAGGCTGTCGTAAGACTGTAAACTTCTTTGCATCCTATATTTATTGTATTCATGCAGAACCCGGTGGATTCTAAAAAATCTGACTCTTTTATGCGAACTTCAGTTTATCTATCGAAATTAAATTGATCTTTATTGATGCGAATAAATCATCTCTAAAAATGCATGATACTACAATTGGGATCTGTTACTTCATGTGGACAATAATCAGGTATGTCAAAAATGCCTTTTGGTAAAAGATCAGGATTATCAGAATAATATGAAAAATCGAAATGCACAATATTCAACCATCCAAGGCGACATGGTACACCTGTTTCGACTGAAGTCAGCCACGAGAATGTTGCAACATCGGGTACGGCTTTTGTCCATGAATGACATGCATGTTCCATCACCGAAACAATTCCATCGTAAGTAGTTTCATTACCAACTTGTAACCAATCTATGTAGAAAGATGGCAAAACTTTTTTCGATATTTCTATTCTTTGCAAAAACGAATCATTTTATCAGTGTATATGTCATTAGAATACCTATAGCATGTTGAAGATGTATCATGAAACGATGTTTCTTCAATTTGGATTCTTGAACACTACATTGTTTATTTTTATTATCATAGAAACTGCGTACTTTTTAGCTGCAAAGTTCTCTACACACTTGCACGAGGGTTATATTTCTATGGTGACGATTCAGAACGATTTAGAAATACACAAGGATGATGTTCACCAGATTTATCTTAAGTGCATAGCTATCCTTGATTATTCTATTTATGTTGCGCAGGGCTGGAAACCAAAGAGAAAACACTCGCTGATTTGGCTTAACTATAAATCTTAAATTTCTAAAGATATGATAAATTGAATGAACATTTTTCAATAATATGTGATAGGTAAAGATTTTACTACTAATGGCAAGATGGAAACCAATACTAATCACTTCAAATAACACATACTCTGTATATTTTCCATTCAAACAAAAGCTATCTGTAATTCCAGACTATCCTTACTGAAATCTCAGTCGCTAAAGATAAAAACTCGTTAGAAATCGTTCTGCCGTCAAGTAATAGGAAAGAATATGATTCGAATTAAAGACTAGTGCTTGTCTTCTGACTTTGACTTTTTGGTGCCTTTCAATCAAGTATTGCTAGATTTCAAGATTTTATCCTTTGCATTTTTTCTGATATAGCGTATCATTACATATTCTATTATTCTCGTGTAGTTATTATTACCTGGTCTTGGTGGAGTTACACCGGTTTGTTCTGGATCAATACAACACGTTCGATTAGCACGTTCCAATCTCCAAACAGTATTTTCGACATGAAATATTGTATATGCATAAGAGTCTTCTCGCATCAAATTCATCACTTGTGCTCGCCGTCTCCAATCATAAAAGATTTGTGCACATGTTGTTTGATTATTATACAGATTATAAGAACTACCACTTGTCATCCAAACTAAAGGCCATTGTGGTGGTGACGGCGATTCGGATCGAATGGCAGCAATACCACTGTATAATGTAAAAAGGAAAATAAGTAACAACTTAAAGCACATACCAACTGTTTTGAAAGTAATGGTAGAGAATCTTTTGCTTATCTATCAGCGAAGAATGTTGATAGTAGATAAAAGAAAACTGGTGTGAATTGACGTGGCTCAGTTTGATATCTAACTGCTCTTATAACTGCGTAATTGCTTCCTAATAGTGTCGCGCTGTAGTAGTTCTTGATTCAAGCAGAGTTGCCTCGGTTTCAATATTAGTATTCTAATACAATTTCTTTTACTATGAAAAATTCTTCGTTGAATTCAAATATTAGCACAAAGATTTTTTTTTCGTAGTCTTTCTGATCAACATAATTAATTTCTGAAAATCGTAACGATAATCTTTAGAAATCATGCTTAAATTAACTTTTCTAAAATTCCATGCAACCCAGACTTGGAGGAAATTTGTACGAAAAAATGATGTTGATGCGAGTGTCAATTAGAAAAGGAGAAGATTCACATCCACACTCACACCAGTATAAATACCAAACAAAAACATATTCTCAATCAATTATTTAACACAATATTGTTGGTGATATTCATTTGCATCTCTTTCATCAATATTCACCTTCACCTTATAATTTCATTCAAAGTTATTAAACTCCCATTAAATAATTTACAAGTCAAACAGATTACAATTGAGAAACAAAAGTTTCATCGTTTTTCAAATGGTTGCATATACTATTGTTGATACAAATTTGAGAAATATTTGATTGTCAAGCATTCCTCAAAGTTTTTCTCATGAATCACTCAACTAAGATTCAATTCAAAACGAATTAGTATTGGTTTCTATTGATGTTTTGAGATTTTAGCTCCAAAGAGTGACTTAAATTTTTCTCATATGCTATTGATTGGTGATAAAAATTCATTCTGTAATAGTGAATCATTTTTGAAAAATATTCAATATTGCCAATGAGACGTTTCTAGGCTGTAGATCGTTACGGGTATAGGTGAAGATTCAAAGGAAACCGATCCATACCTATACCTAGCTAGTCTTTGTGCTTTTCGTATTTTGTCAAAATGGTCAATGACAAGTTCTAGTTGTATGAGTTCTTTTGGTAGCACATTGCATAAATAAATTCATTGTTAACTTTCATACAGACATTCTTAATTTTCGATTCTATGAACAAGATCATTTTATTTTTGTACATAACAAATTCTTTTTATCATTTCGTCAATCAAAGAATCATAGTCTTTAAAACTTTATCCCATTGCATACTATTGTTGAAAGAGACCGATATATGAATAGCCATTTATCATTGTTTATAAAATGTAGAAAATTCTCTTCACATAATGGCAATAATTCCTGACGTATACATAAAATGGCATTATATTTAAAACGCATTTTATATAAATAAAAAGAAAAAAACTATACTTAAAAACTGATCATTTATCGTGCGCTACACCTTACATTGATGATTAAATTCGATGAATAGCTAGTTTAGAAACATCATAAGAAATTAGCTTATTGTTCTTATGTAAATAATTATAAAAGATATTGAAACTGATCAATATGGCATTGATTTTCCATCTTCTTATTCATTCTAGTCTATTTAATATAAAATATAAACATCTGAAAATGATATATAAAATTACTGTTGTCGACAAGTTAGGGTAATCAGCCTTTGGAGTCTTAAGCAAAAGCAGAATATAATATGAGTAAAATCTTTGTTTGTAAATAAAAAAAATGAATTCATATTAGAGGAGAAAATAGACTACATCGTAATAAGATGATTACTGTCTGTGAGAATCTATGTGAACTCACTACCGCCTTATGAGAAGTTTCATTTCTTTTTGAATTATTCTGTGCATACCTAAAAGATGAAATCAAGTAATGTTGAATAGTTAAGGAGTAATATTTCCCGATTAACTCATTAAAATGAAAAAAACAAGATCGTTTTTTTTTTATTTTTTATACTTTTCTACATGATAAAACTACAAAAAAAAATCAAAAATAATTCATAAGATAAATAATAGTGTTTCATTGACATATTATATTTGTTTACTAATGATGCTTACACATTCTGTTTCATATAAATCTTTTGATCTCAGCATGCATCAAACAAAATGTTGTTTCTTTTTTCTGTTACTATGTAAGTTTCTTCATTCATTGATCCGGAAGAGTAAAGAATGAATTCATCTCTCTCTCTCTCTGTCTCTCTTTTCTTTTTTCACCTTACATTGTTGTAACAACAAAAAATTTTTATTGCTTAAGCATTCATCTTATTTCTGACTCTTTTTAATTTGATTGTATTTGCCATTCAACCTGATCTATTTCTCTCTCTCTCTCTTTCTCTTGCGTTCTCTTACATGAATATATCTCAACAGGTGAAAAGTCTACAATACTCTATGAGAGAAGAAGGAGGAGGGGTGTCTAATACATTGCAAAGAGAATAAGAGAACGAACAAACAAATTGATGAATGAAAAAGAAAGAAAAAAAAATCTCTTCGATTGGTTAAAATAAACGAGAAAAAATCCACATCATCACTGCCAATCACATTGACGTTTGCTTTCTTATTCACACATCATATAGGTGTTACAAATCAATGTGTCGATAAGTTTATTACATACAATAGAATGCCACGTCCAGGAAAATCTTCTTATTCAGATGAAAAACCTCCATATTCATATATAGCCTTAACAGCAATGGCTATTCAACAAAGTCCAGAAAAAATGTTACCACTTAGTGACATTTATAAGGTAACCAAAAAACAACAAACAATAAAAATATTGATTTCTTTTTTTTTTGTAAAATTTAGTTTATAACTGATCGATTTCCATATTATCGTACGAATACTCAAAAATGGCAAAATTCTTTACGACATAATTTATCATTTAATGATTGTTTTATTAAAATTCCACGTCGTATTGATCGACCTGGTAAAGGTAATTTTTGGGCATTACATAGCAAGTAAGTAAGTCATAAAATTCAATTGATCTTTGTCATGGTCTATCAATCGTTTGATCATTAACTAATTCTCATTCGATAAAAGAAAGAGAATCACAGCATGAGTTTGAATCGCTAAATAGATGGATTTATTTACATACATTTGCACCCATAGCAATTAGATGAAAAGAAATTACTTTTGAACACGTGTATATTTTGCAAATAATTTTGCATTGTCGGATGATTAATCAATATATATGTGCAACTGAGTGAAAAAAGTTCAAGGTTTTAATCTCTAATAGATTTTATGGGAGAAAAAAAAAACACCGATAAAATTCATTTTTGTTTTATTACTATACTAATTTATATAAAATCATTTTCCGTCATTAATTACTAAACATCGATTTATATGAATTAAAATACTACCCTAAAAAAATCCAGTCAATTTTAGTAACAATCTTCTAATCGGTCTTGTGAGTTCTCGATTCTATGCCTGGATATTTTCGGAGTTTAATATCGAAGAAGATTATAAAATATAATTAATATTCAGTATCATTATTTTCATTCCGACAATGCCGCTGTCTTTTAATTTATTTTTGTTTTTGATGAAATATGACAATAACAAGAAAGAAAATTGAATAAAACAGAAGTCGTTATTTAAAACATAGAAGTGTGAAAGTACATCTTGTCAAACACTTAACGAATAACATCTCTTTTCACCTGTTTTCTCTCATATATATTATAAATATAGTATCGTTCAATGAGCATAGAAAAGCGATAAAAAACGATCTCTTCTTTTTTTTTTTCGTTTGATCTTAGCGGTACATTGTATATAGCGTGTTTGTTAAGTAGCAGCTATTACAATCAATTTTAAGTGAATAAGACTATAATTAAAAAAATTTGTTTGTTATATTTATTTATAGTTGTAGTGATATGTTTGAAAATGGTAGTTATTTACGACGACGAAAACGTTTTAAATTATTAAAACAAGAACAAATAAAATTAGATGAAGAAGAAGAAGAAGAAGAAAAATCTATGATAAATAAAAAACCAATAACAAAAACATCATTTCTTATTGATAATCTTCTTGCAAATGATACAAATACAAATACAAGTTTTACAACATCATCATCATCGGAAACAAATAATAGTACATTACATCAATTACAATATACAACTGATTTCGAATTTCTACGTAAATTGACATTATTTAATGATGTTAATGGACATCATCATAATCTATCTCAACAGTTTTATTGGTAAAAAAAAGCAAGAAACTTGAATTTAGTATGATTATTATTTTTTCTTTCTTCATGTTGTTAACTTGACACATCATCAAGTTTTTTTTTTTTTGTATAAAAGAAAATGCAGACATGCTTCATTTACGTCTAATGACTTTTCATAAGATATAAGTATATATTACTTTTTCTTCTTCTTTTTTTTTGTTGTTCATAACATTTGGTGTGTATATGATGAAGTTGTCATAAGAAAAAAGAAATTGAATAGCTGTCAAGACCTGAAAGACATGACTTGATTGGAATACGGATGATGATGATGATGGATGAACACACACAAAAAAAAAAAAAAAATATATATATATATATATATAAAGTATTATAATCACCTGAGAATATATTCAAGCATTTTTCTTTGTCATCTTGTCTTGTCATTATCATTATGGAACGTTCGATGGCGGATGAAATCAAAGAAAAATGAATAAAATTATCTCTCAAGAGAGGGTTAGAAGATTTTTCATCTATTCGAAACTTCAAAAAGAAGAAGAAAAAAAAGAAACATAATTTTCTTTGTTTTAAATTGCTTCTTTCCTTTTCCGTATTTGTAGTTCCGATCTTTAAATTAGTGTAATATTATATGATTGTATGTGTATAAACTAATTATCTTATAAACAAAGATTACAAGAAATTAAAAAGAATTTGTTTTGCGATATATTTTCTTCATGTATAACTTGTAACCTCTATATGAAACGATTAAAAAAATGATTATATGATACTTTTCAAAATTAGACACATCTTCATTCGAGTTCTCTTTCTTCTCTTCTATTCTGGTACTGGCCATTGTCTCAGAGTTTTCAAAAACTTTTATTTCTTTCAACAGTAATCTTAGCCTTAAAGAGTTACGAATAGTACGTAAGAATTTGAAATATAGATAAAATAGTGTTGAACATATTTGACTAATTCGTCCTAAATAAATTTATTATAATGAATAAATAGCTAGAAATATTCTCTTGATTGAAAGAGTGGAGTCTAAAAACAGGAATTTATTTGTGACTATCTATCTATGGCATAGTTACCACCTAATATCTATGATACAAATGATTATGTAGAATAACAAAAAAAGAGTACCAATATACGAAAAAAAAAACAATTTTATTCTCTGTATTTCATTATTAACTAATACTGAATATCAAATAGGAATACATCTAGATATATTCATAATGTTACTGTTATATAATATTGACAATATAAATAAATATTTACTCTAAGTTTTCTGCTATAAAATTTAACGATTTTATTTATTGAGAAACTAATAATTAAAAAAAAAGCAGTTAAATCATTCATATATTATAATGTATTTAACTAAGATCGAATTACTTTAGAAAACTCATTAGTTAACTATCTTCATCATGATACATAAGCTTACAATTGGATTTTGTATTTATGTAAAATAAAGAAAATTCATTCGGATATTGATCCTGAGCATGAAGATCTATCTCTTTATCAACAAAGATTTAATCTAGGATACTATTTCTACTACGATCATCTTGAAATTGAATTTCTCGGAGTTATATTGAGTATCGATACGTTCTTACTAGCGACTAATGTAGAGGATAGAATATTCATAAAATAGTTAAAAATTAGAATGAAATATCATAACTATATTATACAAGCAATGTTACTTTTTACAGATCATTCAATTGTCTGAATAAAACAAAAAAATTCATTATCCAAAACATTATAATACATTCACTTTTTGTATAATTCAAAACTAATGCATTAATAAATGAGGATATGCTTGTTCTTGATCAAAATCTTTTATTATACAAATAATAACTAAGACAAAAAAAGGAAAAATCATGATTAACGAAACCAATTTGATAGTCCAGGTCGATGAATTGTTTCAGCATTTTCTTTATTTGTCAGTGACATCATACGTTTTTCATCTTTAGCAAGCTCATCAAATGGCATTCGACCACGCCATATATCAGGATATTCAAATGTTTCATTTTTCTACAACAATGTTCAAACAAAATGAATATAATCAAAAAACTAAAGTTTCTTTTTCTTTTACCAAGAAAACATAAGCAAATTTTCGATCTGGATCAGGATCAATTATTTCTGATGAAACTGGATGACGATTTTCTTTACCTGAAAAAAAACAAATTCACTAATGAATATTCTAATAAAATGTTGTGTTATTAATACCTTGTTGAATAATCGTAGTTACATCAAGTACATCAATTTTATAAATCTTTTCTAAATATTGTTTTACATCATTTTTAGTCATTCTTAACAGAAGAAAAAGTATATATAACTATTATTAGTAAAATAGAATATATTAATTTTATACTCAATATGACATTCAAATCGAACAACATTTGGTCTTAATGGACGATTTTCTTCGGGTCTCATAATTCTCAGCCAAAATTGTGGAAAAAAAATTCGATGTCTTGGATCACCAGGTTGCCATTTTGGATATCGAGGTGTCATTGATTTATAAAGATATTGACTAAATTAAATAAATATTAAATAGATATGAAATATAATTTTTCTTACAGATGTATTGGTAGACGCATTCTAATTGAGTAAAGGTATCAGAAAAGAAAACTAATGAATGAACATAGACTTGACTATAGAATCCATATTTTACACTTTGCAAATGTACATAATCGAGTGATAGTAATTGTAGTTGTCACTAGTTGATGATTAAAATCTATTAACATGATTAATTGATATATGAAAAAATTTTTTACATAGAATAGAAAAAAACATAAGTACATTTAGCTTTAATAGCACTATAGCACTTAAAACATTGATGTTTGACAAACTAAAATTGATTCTCATTAAATAGTAATTATAGGCTAAGGTACCTTTATAAATTAAATGAATTTTTATGTGGTATCTCGTTTTTTTTCCGAAAATTTTATCATTTTCTGCTTGAAAAGTACGGTTTTTCAGAGAAAGCAGAAACTCTTTTTCGCTTTTTTCTCTGTTGATGCTTTAGAATTCCATCTTTTGATTTTTTCGAGACATGAACTTTTCATTTCTTTTCACTTCTTAAAGAGTAAGAGTTTGACATTGGAAAAAAAATATTGCATTATGATGAAAACTTTCAGACATTGACAAAATTTAAATTACTATTAAATAATCAATTACAATATCTATAGTTACTTATTAAATACATTGGCAAAAGCTTCAATGATATGTTGCAACATTTTGCTGAGTTAATCGAGATCTGCTAAACCAATTCTGATTTTTTATAAATGTGAAACAGATTAGAACGAGTTATATGCAAAGACCAAATGCATACAGCAATGAATTCGTACGAATAGAGTAAAGAATACTGTGAGACATTTTGTCCTTTGAACTTTAAAGATATGGTATAATTTATACTTTCAGAATCAAAGATAAAGGAAAAATTGGACCTTTATTTTCGAAGTAACATAAGTTGCAAGGGTCATCCATACTCATAAAACTATTATCCATTTTCAGAAAAAAGGCGGTTGAGCATTTTTTTAATAACTTTTGATAGTAACTAGATAGAGAGGTGCGGTTTTCACCATTACAAAGACAAGACCGGGGCACATAATATCTGCTAAAGCCCAAACTTCAGATGCTGCTATTTCACGTCTCTACAGATAGAAACCATCCAGTACTCAGTAAATAAACCTCCGTAACCAGGAGAGGAACTGGCAGTAAGGCCATTATCACCAGCTAATACTATATACATGGTAATATCAGATACTCTAAAAGAAGTACTTCTCGTTGCATATAGAATGGTATTTATATATAATTGAGTACCATGCTTTAAACTATGCGTATATCCAATATGTGTCCAACTGTTCAAAGTAAGCATATGACCATTTGCATTTATGCCGTTACCATTCCAAAGCTGTGCACTGACAAACCTATTCGATGTCATCAATAGATAATGAATACACAACCTGTGGAAGCGGCCACAACAACAAGCGTTGACGCCGCATATCGCCCTGTCAGCTTTACGCATAAACATTTACTGAATGAGCTATGGCTGATGTCCAGAAAATAAAATGGAGTATATGAGTAGTGTATATAAGAACTAGAGTTGAATTGGAAATCTTGATTAATTATACCAGTTGTAGATGATGGACTTCCCGAAGCAGTTTCATTGATACCATTTGGGCCTTTATCGATTGAAGAACCACTGTCAAATGAATAATAGACATACAGTGTAGTATCGTTCAAAATTTCAGTAGAATTTTTCGCTCTAGAAGTAAATTGCACATTGTCAATGTAACCATTGAAACAAGTCACACCAATAGTTGTTGTTCCTCAGTAACCCTCATAGGCACTCGCCGAACGTGAGTCATCAAGTACACCGTTGAGCCAAACCTGTTGGGTCGAGCTGTTCAAATCATACACGCAAGCAACATGCACCCATGCATTCATTGTCAACATTGTCCCATCTTGTAGATCATTGTTATAGAAGAAGCGAAATAAGTGGTTGTTTCGAAACATGAAATGTAAATACAAATTGGTATTTATAGATTGACATTGACCGAATATTCTATATTCATTACTAGTCGAAAAACCGATTGGATAGATCCATACTTCAATTGTAAAACTACTCGAATTCAAAGAAGGTACTCCCGATGTGACCGAGACATATTGCGAAGAGAATCGATTAAGACGGATTGTAGCATCATATCCTAGGAAACTGGTGGTGTAATTTGGACTGTCCGAAGACATGCCATCGAAGTTATTATATAATTTGCGAGTATTATAGTCAAATGCTCGGAAAGCATTTATTATGGGAACGGCCGTGGTAGTAACAGTCGCTAGAAGCGTATAAATGAAAAACATTCAGCAGCATCTTTGAATATAAGCTAAGGCTATCAAAACACGGTATAGGTATATTTGTGATATAGTATAGAAAGAAGCGACACTCACACTCAATCTTTCTAATCATATTTCATGATTTTGCTGTTACAACAAAGCACCTCTAAGAACATCTGTTTTTTTTTCTAAATCACATACCCACATACGTCAGTACGCCTAATCGTTTATTCATGATTAAAGATCCTGGCGCGAGCAAATAATTCATACATGAAAACCCTTAACCAAACAAAAATCCTCAAACTTCTTTACTTTCACCAATTTGTTCAACCAGATCTGTGGACACCTATTAATTCTTTGATTGAGGATAGTTGTTAAGGACTAATGATGCATATCATCATACAACGGCAACGAAACAATTTGGCATTGAAACAACTGAATTATGAAAAAAAGAACATCGACTCGGTTAAATACTTTGAGGGTAATCCTTACGGGATTAAATTGTGAAACATAATGGATTTGTTCTACTTGTAAACGACAACTCTATCCGAATTCATCATACTAGTCTTGGCGAGAACTAAACTAATAGAGTGAAATGGCTGTTGCGGACTGTGATATTCTTGCTATACGCTTAAACATTCATTTTCAGTCATGTTTTACAAAAAATTTCTTAAAATCCCCAATGCATGGAAAGTTAAACCGTAGAAATCCAATACAAGAGACATGTTGAAAGAAATTGCTCGTTCTATATGGAAGAAAAATTAATAAGACGCTACATCGTGCTAGATTCTTTCATATCAAAGTTCATGTTTTTTACACAGAACAAATGTTTTATATTTATACATTCTTTGCAATTTTTTGGCACTAGTCTTCAATGATAATTACGAACTGGGAGTTTCGAAGAGATGAAAAGAAGAAAAGTGTTATTAAAATCTTGTCTGATTCAGAAATTTGCAACATTGAGCTTTTGAACTTCGAGCATATTTATGTACTCACTCGTTCGTTCACTACCAGTCAATGTCAATGATAGTGTTGAAGGCAAATTAAAAAATACGAAAGTAGAGTTCCAACTATCTAATAAATGGCACGAAGACGAATAATTAGAGAACGTCCGATAATGTTCTCGTGCGTCTGTGTCGTGCATAAAGAATAACATTAATATATAACCTACATATTCACTCTAACTCACTTCACTCACTTTTGTGAGAACACTGGTATGGACACATTATTTATGCCCACTTGATTTTGTTCAAATGAGGATATCAGAGTGTGAGGGTCTTCTCTTCACCTGCTTGATCTCAGTTCTCTATATCCACACTATACCTTCGATTGACATGCAATTTAATTATGTTTACTTCCATTATAAAGCAATATTGAGTAAGATATTAGAAAAACAAACTGATTACTTTTGTATTTTTGAAATTAATCTCATTACATTTATGAAGTCTCAAAAGAAACTTTTTATTGGTTTGAATTTACTCCAATAAATATCATTGTTTAGTTAGAGAAGAAACGAAAAATGAATATCTGATGACAAGGATATGACTTGTTAGAAAAAAAGAAAAAATCTTTCATTAAAGAACAACAAATAAATCATGAATACTTTTAATTAAATGATATTAGCTTTTATTTTTATTTTTTGTTTAATCTATTTTCTTTTTTTCTATCCGTATATGAACCAGTTGTAGCTAAGATCAAGCGATCATATCATTAATATTTTCCTTGTTTTCTTGTTTTTTTTTTTTTATTATTTAGATGGCATTTGATTCAAAAGCAGCTGGTAGTATAGTGACAAAAGAAATCGAATCTCGTCTTAAGTAATAAATAAGATTATTTATTATATTTTTATTTTCATATATTTCTTTTAGACAAATACCTGAACATTTCTTTGAAGTCTTTCTTGAGATTCGTGAACCAGTTGAAGATGAAAGTAATGAAATTTTTCATAATATTCATTTAAAATTTTATATATTTCTATTTTAGTACCAGAAATTTTAATTAAATATCCAAATGATTTTTCTGATGATAGTCTTAAAAATGTAACGAATTTTGCTTATCCATGTAAAATACCATCGTAAGATTTATTTTTAAAGATCAAAAAAATAAAATAATTTTATTTATATTTTTAAATATTTTATAGAGATGAACAAAGTGAACATTTTGCATTTGTTATACTTGATACAACTGGTACTCTATTTCGTTTTGGTTATTGTCGACGATCGAATCGTGAATCTACTTGTTTATGTATTATTAGGTAGAAAATTTATTTTATAATTTCGATTTTTTAATCATAAAAAAAAATTTTGTTTATAGTTTTTATCCATGGTTTGAAACATTCTATAAAATTTTAAATGATTTATCTCATATAATTAATTCAAAATCAGTAAGAATATATATTTTTTTTTCTATATAAATATATATATTTATATGAACAGTTAAAGGATTCTTCTCAACCATTGATTTTAGTAGGTGGTTTTAAATTGCTGCTATTCGAGCTTATCTTGAAAATTTTTTTGTTTTTTTTTTTGTTTTGTACAGATTTTATTTATTCTTTTCGTTTTATTTTTACAATAGACTGCCGATATGGAACAATTGTTATCATCATTATATAATTATAAATTAATGTCAATTGAAGAGTTTTATAAAAATGAAGGAAAAGAATTGATTGAAATAAATACTCTTTCGAAAGTAAATAAAATTTTTAATTATTTAATTTTTTCTTTTATGTGAACAATTTTAGAATTATACATATACTCGTCCTGATCCGCGAAAACTTCCGTCAATATTAACTAGTGTATGTATTCATAAGAAAATTGTCTTGAAAATAGTTCAAACTCTCAGGTTATTGATACCAACATACTGAAATTATCGAGTACATTTTTAAGCGAATATTGTACTTCACTTTAGGTACATCAAGAAAACTAGTTTTTGAGTTTCGACTTGAAACTTTCTAAGGAGTATCACACTATTGTAGAGAGCATAGATTTGATAATCTAAGTGTTTTTTTTAGATGCAATAATGATCAATGTCATGTAAGAAATATCCGAGATCGATAGATAAGTTAATTTTTTGTACGAGTCAATCTATATGATGTTAACTAGATGAAATCATCGTTATCTCGAATGATTGGATAAGTCAGTTATGTTATTCGAAAGACAAAATGATATCTATTTGGCTGGATTAAAAATTTTTTAAAATCCAATAAGTTATAAATGTTCTATATTAAAAAAATCATAATAATAAAATATGAGTTGAACAGTTTGATATAAAATTCATCATAAATTCAGAAAGTTTACAAAATGATTGTAGTAACTGAACTTGTTAGATCCAGCTTTATTTTGTCATTGGTATTTGATCATTATCAAAAATACCATAAACAAGTTGAACTAGTCTATTAATATTTCTCTGATAATTTGATGTTTTTTATTCCATTTGATATTCGAGGAACAGAACTGAAATCGTAATTATAAAAAATGAAAATTTTGACCAATACTTAGCCTTTTTTTCAATATGATCTATCTGTTTGATTGTATGCATATCTAGATGAGACATCAAGCTATATTACTTAAAACAAAAGTCTACATGCATAATGAAATGTAGGTAACAGACATATTCATATTCACAAACTCTAGTTCAATCTATATAGAAACTTCTAATTAGTTGTAAATTATTTATTTTCGTTATTTTTCATGTATTAATAAACTAGATATTTATCTTAACTTCTCACTTTCTAAATTAACGTTAATATGTGACAATTTTCAAAGAGATTTGTTATTTTTTTTTTTTTTATCGTTTAAATAATTATGAATTTAATTTAGCGTAATTTTACTGTTATGGTTTCACGATTGGGTCCAGACATAATGTTACGTCTTTTTTCACATTTACTTTTTGAACGACGTATTCTATTTGTTTCATCGAAACTTTTTCATTTAACTGGTTAGTTCTTATATTCATCATTGTAAAAAAAAGAAGAAAAAAAACAATTTCTTATTATTATTAATATTCTATTTAGCATGTGCATATGGATGTTCACATTTAATTTATCCAATGCACTGGTAAATATTTTCCTAATAAAACTTGTTGATTTTATTATTATTATTATTATTATTTTTTTTTTCTAAAATTAAAAAATAAAAAAAGGCAAAGTATATTTTTACCAATACTTCCTTCATCAATGACATGGACTACACAATGTACTGCACCATATATAATTGGAATGCATTCAAGTTTATTTTCGACATTAAATATGGATGAATTAGGTGATGTTGTAATTGTTAAAATTGATGAACGAAAAATTGAATCACAATATGATGATCTTAATTTATTTCCTAAATATTTAATTCGAAGTATGAAAAAAGGTTTACAACAATCATCACAATTAGCTGGAGATCATTTAGCAAGAGTTTTTCTTCGAGCTATGGCATTTTCTATTGGTTAGTAAATTCTATTATTTTTTACATAAAAAAAAACAAAAATTTATGTCGAATTTTTTTTTTTTCTTAGGTAATTATGCAAATGGTTTTGTAATTAAAAATGATAAATTAGATTTTGATCGAGATCGTTATCTTGAACCATATCTTGGATCTCATATACATTCATTTATGTCTGCTGTTGCTCATACACAAATGTTTGAACAAGTAAGAAGAATAAAAATATTTCAAAAAGAGAATTTTTGGTTTTTAGTTTTCACGATATCGAACTTATGCACAACTTCAACGTGAAATTGATGTTGATGAATTTGATCTTGAAGTTGATAATTTACAAAAACTTCAACAATCAAAAAAAGTAAAGAGAATATATATAGATTGTTTTTTTTTTTAATATCAAGTTTAGTCTTTTCAGTTTTGGACACGAGAGATTTTTTTAAAAGCAAGTAAAATATGCATGTACCCTAAGAATTCATTTTACCTGCAAGTATTTATATGTACATATATTAGAAAGTGAAATATTCCATTTAAATGCTTTTTGTTTTGTTTTGTTTTTTATAGAATAGAACTTAATTTATTCAGACTTCTATTCTTTAATATGGAGAAAAATGAAATCATAACTAGAAAGAATTAAAAATAAGTTTTGTATTTATTAATTATATATATCAAGAGAATACTACTAACGAGAGAGTATATTCAATTGAATAATCACTTTGGAGTCGAAACTATACATGAACCATTCATCTTATTGCCTTGAATAAATTATTGACATATGAATGAGCAAGCATATTTCAAGTACCGATAGTTGATATATACACAAATATTCGATAATTTGCAAGACCTTGAATTCTTTCGAATTCGTCAATATTTTCTGATTTTGTTTTACTTGAAACACTAAAAACTTTTCAACATAAAGATGTATGTACTTTTATTACTCTTAATAATAGTATACATCCGTAGTTGTTGATCGTATGAGAAGAGTTGAACAAACACATTCTGTTGAATATAAAGAAATTTTTCTATAATGATATGAGGTTTTCAAAAACAAAAAAATTTTTTTTGGATACGCAACATCTTTTTTTTGAAAATTTTATATTTTATTCAAAATTCGATCGATGTGGAAATTCTGAGACATATATCTGTAGTAAACGTATGTCATATACATCGAACAATTCGATGTTTTTATTTCGGCATAGGATATTAAATCAAAAAAGACCTAAAATCATTACGACAAACTATTTTTTTTATTAAGACATGATTTTCAATTTGAAATTCAAAAAATCATTTTTCCTAGTATTACTGACATGAACTACATCTTCTGAACTCTTCTTAGAATACTAATAATTCATTAGTATTCACATAGTCCTGAGAGATCTCCTTTGAAAAGGATTAAATTCAATAGAATGTTTCTAAAAATATTTCATCCATTGATATTTTATTTCTAGTTCAAAACAAACAAAAAAATTTACAAACTATTAGAAAAAGTAAGTTGAATTGATAATCTTTTTTTTATTTTAATAATCGAAAAAGCGATTGTCATAAAATGCATGGAGAGTTTTTATAGTATGTAAAAGATGGCACAATAATAGACAGTAGTACTAATACACAAAAAGTTCGTACAAAATCAAAAAATCGAATATCACTTATCGATACAAAAGATGAAAGAAATAAGGTACCATATGAAGATTATCTGTGCTTAACAATGCTCTTGTTGCATTTTTTTTTCTTTGCTCAATATGCTCATTGTTGTATTATCTATAGAAAAAAAAAAAAACTTTGATTATTTGTTTTTTTTTTGTTTTTGCTCATCTAGGCAACAAATCCATTAATTGAACAAGTACAAAATAAAACTGAAAAACTTCATACAGCTGTAAGTTAATATTCTTTTAAAAAAAGAAATTCTTGTATTTTTGGAAGTTTTTTTTTTGTTTGGCTTAGCTTAATAAAGCTGGACAACGTGTTGCTAGTGAAGCATCATCAGTAAGAAATAATTTAACATCATTCGATGTAAGTGAAATTAAAAGTTATAAAATAATCTTTTTTTTTCTTTCTAAATTATAATTAGATTAATGATGTTATTAAACGAGTACATACTTCTAAAATTCCTGATGGTGTAAGTTGTTTTAAATTAAAAATTGGGTTTTTTTTTTCTCTAAGTTTTAATATTTTATAAGATTACATTAAATCATGCTCGTGAAATAAAATCAATTCATCAAGTAAGATTTTATTTTTATTTTATTTTTTTATTTCTTTAAATTGATTTATTTTAGTCAAGTTCACCTGATTTACTCAATGAAAAGTAACTAATTAATATTAATATTTACATATGATCCAGAAATATAATGTTTCTCTTTCGAATTGTATATAACATATTGTTATCATAAGTTTATAAACGAGAATGACGCAATAGACATGAGATGCAATCAATATGAATCTGCGCTTTTTATAATTATATATGTGAAGCTTCCTATTGAATTTAATATCAATAGAAGTTGTATTTGTATCAAGAGAGTAGTAATATTGATTTTTCGTAGCATTACTTTCAATGAATATAAAATATTTTTCATTAACTAAAAGAACTCACGGAGACTAGCAGAAGCTCTTTTAGGTTTTTTGCTATTTTCTTTATAAATCGATAACAAAATTAAGTGATATAAAGTTTTCGAAAGATGAGCACACTGCCTATTAGCGGATAATTTTTAAAAAATAAAGTCGTTCCAACATCTGTTTACTAAATTCATATGAGTCAAATTGGACAAAAACTGTTGATAGTTTGATACTTAAATAATTCGCTATGTTTTTTTGCCAAGAATTCGAAAGCGAACTGAACCGTAAAGTACTGATTCATTTTTTTGCTCCACTCTGACGATCATTCTAATACATTATACCGTTTCCAAAGAAAGTAGAAAGAACCATAAGATAAATCATAGAACTTTTGCTATATCGTTCTCTATGAAAAACTTTCTTAAATAAGGATTTCATAAAAAAAGACATATTCAATATAGTAAGTGTATACACTTTAGTATAGCTTCAAGCTTAGTAAAACTTTTACAAGGTGTTTTTTTTATCTGTCTGACATGTGTATTCAGTTAGTATAAATTCTTCTGATTGAGATACACGTTTCCTAAAAGAAAACTCTTTGTTTTTATAAGTTTTCCACATTTATGTATATTAGAAGTACTTTCACAGGAAACTCCATAGAAGTATGTGAAATTTGTTAATGATTAAAATAAAAATTTTTTCGAGAATAAGTTTAGAATAATCTTTATGTATACTTCATTGAAAATTTTCGTTTTTTTTTTTTTATCATCAACTTTTTAATCTTTTGATTAAACCAAAAAAGAAGTAAACACATATTCTATCGAAGAGAAATAACGATCGACATATGTCAAATTAATTTTCTACCACATGTTCTCTATCATAAATAAATATTCTTAGCTCTATTCCTTATGCACAAATACGTTCAAAAGAAGATATTTTCTCTTCTGATCCACAATTAATTCATGATGATCAAATATTATCATCATCATCAGATTCATCACCTTCATCAACACCTGAACTTGAACGACATAGAAGTAATCCATTAATAAATTTGGAGATTGATGATGATGTATGATTAAATATTTGTTGTTTCTTTCTTTTTTTATCTATTGAAAATTTTTGTTAATACCATAGAATCAATTATTACCATCTCCTATTGTTCTAAATGTAATTCATACACCAGTAACACCACCAATTCAACGTCAAACTCCTCAAATTGATTCAAAAATTAAACAATTACAAAATGAACTTCAATATAAAGTACAAACATTTGATAGTAAACGTATTGATCCACGAAATGAATATGGTCAACAACAAAGAGAAATAAAAAAACTTGTTGAACAATTTGATCCACTTGATGATTCAAATTATTCAAATAAACCAAAAAGAAATTCTAATGAATATTTTCCTTCAATGCCAGTTATATTTCGTTCGGATGATAAAATATCATCACATATATCTGATCGTCATCCATCTGTTTATGAAACGATACCAACAAATTATGTTAATAATGTTTTACATAATATACAAACAACATATGGTACAACAAGTCGAATAAATTTACGATCAACTTATTCAATGCAAACAAAATCACAAGAAAATAATTTAAATCATTTTTCTCCAGCATTAACTGCACCTGCAAATTTATTTCCAACAAAAACTTATACAAATATTACAGATGATCCATCATCAAGTTTTGATCCATTAGCACCATCAAAAGAGAAAACTTTATATTCAAATATTCAATCATCATCATCATCGTCAGAGATGAATGGATCGAATTTAATTGATTTTAATTGATAGATTCTTTTTTCTTTTGGTGATTTTTCTTATTTACGCATTTCTGTTGTCGGTTTTCTTTTTTTTTTTGGTTTTGTATTTCTAGTGTCTTTCATAAAAGTATTAAATTGTTGTTTCCTTTGTATTTGTATCGATTTGTGCTTGAGAATGGTGATGACGAGCGAAAAGTTTATGCAATTATTATTATTATTATTATTATTATTTTTTGTCTTTATTAATTTTGTGAATATGTTAGCCGATGTACAAGAAAAAAAATTATTGATATCTTATTATTTACTTGTATACCAATATTTCTTTTATTTCAGACTTATAGTCTCTTCTATATTATATGTTATGTCAAACAAGCCAAATAGAATCAAAAAATAATAAGAAGAATACGCAATGGATGATTCAATGATTAATTCAATTTTATTACCATCATCGGTTCATCTTGAAAATCTTGAAAAATTAATTAAAAATCTCGAAAAACAAACATTCAATATCGATAATTTTGAAAAAAATATATTAAATAATGATAATAAACAAGAAATAATTACTAAATCATATTCATCTCTTTCGTCAAGTACAATACCTATGGCTGATATATCAAATGAAAATTTTCTTATTAAAAGTATCACACTTACAAATGATGTTACAATAGCTGATCATAATCATGAAAGTTTTTCTATGGATAGTCTTTCAACTCAACGTGATTTATTTAGTAATGATGATTTTAAAAAAGAAAAAATATCAATAATTAATGATCAAAGTTTATGTAATGATCAAGATAGTGGATTTACATGGGATGATCAATATGATACACAAACAAATTATTGTAGAACTTTTAATATTGATAAATTAGAAGAAATTGATTTAAAATCAGAAAAATCTTTTCAATATGAACATCAAACAATTAATCAAAAACCTAATTCTACATATTCTGATGATAATATACTTTCAAATGTTATGAATACTATGAATGATTGGTCTATGAAATCAGATTTAAATAATTTTGAACAGTCAATTAATCAATCACAACAGATTCATTGTCAATTTAATCTTTCTTCATCATTATATGAACAAAAAAATTCAAATAATAATAATTCATCGGGATCATCAACATCATGGCGTCAAATGAAACAAAATCAACAAACACCAACAGAAATCAAAACACGAGAAACTCGACCACTTTCACCAATAAATCTTTATAAAATTTTTCAACAAAAATCTAATACAATTACACCATCATCTCGAAATATTTTTCAATTATGTCAATCACAAAATGATTCTATTTCTTCAAATCTTATCAATAAAACAATAATAGAAAAATCAAAACGATCACAAAGTCATTCAACTACAGATCAAGCTATACAAACATCTATTCTAGCTGATTCTTCAACGAACAGTCAATGTCAAACAGTAGCAAGCATAGGTATATCAACAAAAAAAAACAAAAAGAAATATATAAAAATGAATTTTCTTTTTCTTGTTTCTTAGGATCTAAATCTAAATCATATGATAATCTTACTTTACCATTTTCAATTCCATCATCTTCTATTCATAAATCTTTACCTGATCTTTCTTTTATTTCACAATATTCAAAAGAATTACCTCGATCTTATACAGCATCACTTTTACCACGAACATCGTCATTATCTATTAATTTTATTCGTACAACATCATCTCCAACATTAATTCAACAACAAAAACATGATTCAGATCGACCTCGTACACTTAAATCAATTAAACGTTATAAAAATAGTAAACATTCTACTGAACCTATAGGTGTTTTTTATAGTCCACAATTACGTAAAACTTTTGCTGCTGTACCGACATCAGCAGTTATTAATGGATCGAATACATCAGCAACAGTAATCAAGATGAAATTACCATCATCTTCATCACTTCAATCAGAACAGCAACAAACAGTGAATCTCAAATCTTGTCTGAAATATCAATCGAGAGCTAATTCTTGCGATATTCAATCTACATTACACGATAAAAAATCACCGATATTATCATGTTCTATTCCTCGATTAACTAATAACAAAGTAAGAATAGATGAATAATCATAATTATACGAATAGACCTTTGTTTCGATATAGAAAAAATTTCTTTGTGTGTCAATCAATATTTAATTTTGGATATATATTAACTCAACAAATTATAGGAGGATATGGATACAAGAGAATATTAACTAATTAATAAAAGAAATATCCATTATCTGGCAGTTTAATGAGGTTTCTATTGCTTCTTTTTTAGTACTAATAAAGATTCGCATTAACCTTTATCATAATATCTTATGTTCTTTTGAATATAACTAACTAGATTTACTTTTTTTTTTTTTTTGCTTTTTATTCATACAAAATATTATCTACAATAAATTTTATTTTTATTGTCTAGGATATAAATTTTCCTTCATTAAATCATCATTGTTCAAAAATTGATACATTTAAATCTTCTGATGTTGTTTATTCATCAAATAGCTGTTCGAATAATTTCAATATTTATCAACAAGAAAATTCATCTCGTGAACATCATTCTGAATATGATCTATTATTATTAATCGAACAAAAAAATCAAACAAAAAAAAGTGTTAGTTTTTCTGAAAATATTTCTAAACATCTTAGATCATCTTGTAATCCAACAATTATATTTGATGAAAATAAAGAAAGATTAACGAAAAGAACAATGATACGCCATGATGAAATGCGTCGATGTCAAAGTAAGTTATTTGAGTAGGGTCATCTCATTTCTTTTATTTATTTGATTCAAAAGAAACTTAATCCAAACGAGATAATGATGATATACATTGCCATTCGTCATTCATATCTTCTATACTAATCCGATACGATAAAGTCTTGTTGTTTTTATTTTGTAGCTGACATTATTCATATTGATCCTGTTCTTCATCTACATTCGCTTACTGATAGTCCACCAAATGAATTTTGTTTACAACAAGATGAAGATGATAAAATTTTAATGGAAAATTCTCATATTAATATTATTTCAAATCTTGATGAAGTAGAATCAATAAATACGAATGTTTCATCTTCTCCTCTTAATTCATCAAAGATTCATTCTATCGAAAAAGAAACTATTTCATCGAATCAATCATTAATTTCGAAGAATACATCAATACTTGATGGTATAGATAAAATTTTTCTTTTTTTTTATTCTAATTCAATCATATCTATTTATTTAGATCTTTTAGAAAGAATCATTGATATAATAAAACGTTTATTTGAAATAAAACAATCAGATAAAGTATAAAAAAATAAAATAAATATTTTTTTATATTGTTTTTTTTTGTAATAGTCATTCTTTCTCAATAATGAAAATAATTTACAATTAGATTCTTTACTTAAAAATGATTTTTGTACAGCTATTCAAAATATTCTTGAACATGGTCGAAAAGATTTTAAAAAAATAACTCTATGGAAAATTATTGAACTATCAATTAGTCCAAATAGTTCATCTTCATTTTCTTCAAGACAAGTTCCAGAAGTTTATTATGAAGCTAAACAAATTGCACATAATATTTCATCGCATTGGTTATATAGATTTCAAGCATTTATCTTCGTATTATTAAAGTTCGTTTATCTTTTAATATTTATTTCTTTTTGTATTAAATAGAGTTGAGAAAGTATGAGTCATGACTCGAATTTTTCATTTACAAAAAGTAAAAGTTAATCATTGAGTAAAAAAAAATGAGTTTCAGAAGAAATTGATAGTTTTTTTGTTAAAAGCTGTCGATTAAAATAGATTGAAAATGAAAAAAACTGATAAGATAACTTGACTCACTCGATCCTAACAATGAAGTACAATCCATGGTACTGAATACATCTTATAGACTCCAATGAGTTTTGAAATCAATAATGTCGTCTTTTAATATATGAACTACAGATTGCATTTCTAAAGGATTAAGTGAAAGACTAATCATGAAATGTATTCTATAATAAATAGAATAAAACAATTTTCATATAATTAATAATGACTATTTGTTTCTATTTATAGTAAAAATGAATTAATTAATTGGCTTTATTATTTTACAAGACAAAAAGATATTATACAATATTATTATCAATCACCTGATGCTTTAATTCTTGTTTCAATACCATCAACATTTAATCTATTCGAACGAATAATGACTCAATTAGAAAAATTAACACCAATTGCATTTCAATTAACATATCATATACCAAATGATGCTTTTAAAAATGATGATCAATTAAATACATCTATGATTAGTATGCATTCAACAAAAACAACTGCACGTAATTGGCTTATGTCAATATCACGACGAACTTCAAGAAATCTTACACAATCAATTATTCAAGATAATTCAAATGATACATTACGTTCAACATTATCAAAAAAATTTAATTCATTTTTTACTCGAACAAATACACAACAAGCTCAACAACAAAAAAAACCAACATCAGTAGTTACAACAAAATTACCAGAATCTAAACAACAAATTATATCAACAGAACAATCACGTCGACCACATATAGCTAGTATATTTAATAATTCATTTACAACAAATAAACCAAGTATTGTACCAAATGAGAAATTAAATGATTCAATAGTACGAAATGTATCATCATCTACTTCATCTATGGGAATGATTGCAACATTTCAATCAAAAATTTCACGTCCATCATTAAATATTGATACGCCTAAATCAACTCGATATCATACCACAATACCATTGTCGAAATAATGTTTTTTTTTTGTTGTCTTCTAATAATATAATTCTGATTTTTTTTGTCTTTGTTTTTGTTTTTTTTTTATTATTCTTTATCATTCCATTTAATCTCATGAATTTTTTTGAATCCAAAAATTATGGGTTGCTATTCTCACCTTTTGTGTTTATCTATGTGAAAATACTCAAATTTTAATAATAATAATAATAATAATAATTCGATAAATTACCGTGATTAAGAAAACTATTTGTAGCATATTCGAAATGAAAGCTGTAAAGATTATTGAAGAGTCTTAATTATGCAAAGAAGAACTAGAAAAACAAATGATTTCATTTTTTATTTATTCTATGCTTCTTTTTCATTTTTATATTATTCTCTATTTTCACATATTCTGAATCCAGTATTATTTTGTACTTGGTACAGTTCTATCGCCTGAGTAATACATGACTCTAATCGATTATTGTTATTAGTGTACTCTACTACCTTTTACTAAGGTATATCTAAAACAACATGATTCAATTTAATATTATGAGTACATAATATCTCTCTGGAAATCGTTGGAATTCTGCTGGACTTCATATAACGAAGAAGAAACATTCTGATGTGCTATGGGCTAAGTAATAATCGGATCGGTTGATGTTAACAACGTAGTCTATTAACGATGACACTATTCGAGCTGAGGTCTCTAGAGTCGAATTATGACTATTTAATTGAATTTTTCGTCCACCTTTAATAATTTATCGAAAGGTGAAAAAAACGGAATTTCGATCTGAAATTTGTCGATTGATAGGTCTAATGACTCTGAAAATATCCTGAAAGTTGTAGCCGAAAACAATGTTTCTTTATCGATATATTGAATTCTCAAACTATGGTTGTTTACTAGAATAACGCGTTTCCAGAAGCTATTCGGCACGAATACTTTTAGGATTTTTCTAGTCTTACCAAGAAAGACCTCTTGATGAGCTCAAACAGCAAGTATCAGCGAAGCACACCTGTGTTAACTGATTGACAATGTTGTTCTGATGACATTATAGATGTCATTTTCTTCAATATACATAAATACCAGTCAATATAACTAATGAAAGCATGATGAATTTGATTTTCTAGGAGATTCGATTTTTTTTTCTACGTCATTGTATGACAGATGATACAAACTAAAGAATACCTCTGATATATAGCAAAATTTCATTTTTCTAAAATATTTTTCTGATAGAAATTAATTACTTTCAACTACGCTAAAAATATCTCCATAGGATTTTTCTATATATACTTCTTATACAAAAATCAATTCCAAAGGAAATTTTTTCTTTATTATTTCATTAGAATTTCTTGAAAATAGGAATTTTATCATCTTCTATAACAAATTCTATACTAAACTCTTTGGTTTTTAACATGATCAGTAATCAATCTCAAGATTAGAATTGAAATGAATTCATTCAATTTCAAGAAAAATCTTTGAATATTTTCAATTACAATGTATTTTTCCATATATTTTAGATTTTATAATGGCACAAGGAGGTGATCAATCATCGACTATTTCTTCTTCTATGAATAATGATGTTAATGAACAATATCTTGCTAGTTTAATAGAAATGGGTATTGATCAAGACACAGCTCGAAAGGTTTTATTTTTAATTTAATAATTAAAATACGATTTAAAGTTTGTATTTTAGGCATTAAAATTTGTTAACAATCGAAGTTTAGAAGAGGCTTTAGCTGTTGTTTTTGGTGAATCAACTTCATCTATCAACAACACGAAAGAACAACATTCAGTGGGCAATCAGACGGACATGAACTCAAGTTCTACTTTTCGAAGTTTCAATACAGAAATGAATACTTCAATGGTTAGTCTATCATACCTTTAAACTAGATATCTAAAAACCAAGCCGAATCCTAAAAAATACCCATCGTCAAAAAATTGTTCAGAAATCAGTAATTATGCGAAAACCATTTCCTCTATCAACTTATCAAAATATTTCAAAATGAAAAACTAGTTGAAAGGAAGGATTGGTTTATAAGCCCTACCGTATGAAAAAAATTATTCTGCCTCAATTAGAAATGAAATAGAAAAAATTTCGATTACTGGATCGAAAATAGATCGAGAAATCGCTCATATCGCAATTAATGAACATCACAAAGAGTTTGACTGCGATCTCATTCTTGAGCTGTATCAAACCATGTATAATAAAAAGTGTTTTTGAAAAAAAAAACTTTTTTTGACATTTATACTAAATATGTTTCCAAAAATTGACTGTCTTGATTTTTTAAACACTAAAACCTACTCCAGTCCGTCTAGTGCGCAAAAGTTACTCAGTATGTAGGAAGCTACTCTAGCGTCTCAATCCGTATTCGTTTATAGATTCCTAATTCATGTCAATTACGTTTTCTATTTAGAATACAGATCGAAACGATGATACAGATGAAAGCATTATGACATATAAAATGTTATTTATTGTTAATGGTTCACTACAAATGAGTTCAGGTAAAATGGCAGCACAAGTTGCACATTGTGCCATAGATTTATATAAAAAATTAATTGAAAAACGTTCAAATTCTTTAAATTATTGGCATGAATATGGTGAAACAAAAATTGTTGTTCGTGGTAAATCAACTGAAGAATTACTTGATATTGAATCTCGTGCTAGAACAAATTCATCGATCACAACATCAATTATTGAAGATGCTGGACGAACTGAAATAGAAAGTGGTTCAATTACATGTGTTGGTTTATTTGGTACAAATAAACAATTAAATCCAATTACAGGCCATTTAAGATTAATGCAAGATTGTTTAAAATGTAGCGGGAATTAATATTCAACTAAACAGCTACGAAATTTTTATTTAAAAAGAAAAAAAAAAAAGAACGTTTTTTGTTTTTTTTTCTGACTAGAAGATTATGAATATGATCGAACAGAAGTAAATAATTGTAGAAGATCAACAGAAAATTTATTTGAAAAAAATTGATTCGGAATTATATCATTTGTTGTTGATGTTGGTTCATCTTGTTCATGAATATCTTTAAAAAAAAAGAAATTTTCTTTATACAAATATTATTTATGAACAAAAATAAAACAAGAAACAAAAAATTAATTTACTTTGTACATTTCGATGAAGTTTTTGATGAGATTTTAAATTACAATGAAGAGAAAATAATTTTCCACATACGTCACATTTATGATCTTTTCGTCCTTTTTTTTTTAAATATAAAAATAAAAAGAATATAGGAAAAAAAAGAAAAGAAAAGATGATATATACCTGTATGAGTTAATAAATGATTTTTAAGATTGGTTTGTTTTGAAAAACCTTTTGAACATTGAGTACAACGAAATGGCCATGTACCTTGATGAATATGTGTATGACCACGAAGATCACCTGGTGTTGCAAATGTCTTATCACAATAAGAACATTTATGAGGTTTTTTCTATAATATGTATGTATTTATTTAAAATATTAAAAATGAAAATTTGACATACTTTCGTATGTGTCATTCGATGATAATACAGATTTGAACTTGCTGTAAAACGTTTACCACATACTTCGCATGAATGAGGCTAAAAACAAATAAATAAATCTTGAAAATATTTTTATTTTTAAGTACATTACTTTTTCTCCACTATGTATTCGACAATGAGTATTTAAAGAAGATGATGTTGAAAATGCTTTTCCACATGTTGGACATACATGTGGCTTTTCACCTGAAATAATAAATAAAGAAAAAATTATCATGTTCATTAGCGTTATAGATGCTTAATCAAATAAGGCGATCATATCCTTCTAAACTCGACACTGTAGGTCGGATATGTCTTGGTGACTAAAATTAGTCTTTCAGAGGATCAAGATGACAAAGCGAGTCTCATCACCCACTGCTGAAGCTATTAAACTAACATCTTCTCGCTGCTTTTCTAGATCACTGTTGTAACATCCGATCTAAAAGATGTATTGGATTTCTGAAGGATTAAGTAAAAATATGGTCGAAGGATTTGTTCCAAAATAGATAGAAAAAAAAGCAATTTTTCCTGATCGTCAGTGAAACAATCGATTGCTATTATCATATGATTAGACAAACACAAAGATCATTCTTCTTTTGTTATTCACAATAGAAAAAAAATGCCTCTCAGCCTGCTCTATTTTGTGTTCTTTTACAATTTTCTAATTAACTTCTAATCTATTAGCTAAATATCTGAAACGGTAGAGAAAAATGTAATACATATAACCGTTCTTACTTGTTTCAAATTCGAAAATATCTTTGTATAAATTAACTGATTAATGTAACACTTTAACGGAAACATATCTTTCTAACTATCCATTAGAAAGTTTTATTTACGCCGCCTCTGCTTCACAATGCGAATGGTAAAGCATCGATCGCCATCTTCTGACGAAATTTTTTTTTTTTAGTAGACATAAAAAATAATAGATTAGTTTTGACTATAACTGTCGATTTATCTTGGTGTTGATTTTTAAAATTCTTTCTTCTCATTAGTATCTTATTGTTATAAGTCAATAGCACTGCATTGATTGTACTTGAAATTCAATTTTACAAAATTATCGGCAGTGTCTATACGTAAGTACCAGAAAAATTAGGTGTATATTCTCACAGTATTTTCTTTTGAAAGCAACTAAATGAATATAAATAGACCAGGGTAGCTTTCGTACAGGAAAGAAAATCAACGATCTATTCCCAATGACTTCTCCTGTTTATGTATATCCATTAACTTTGCCATAGTAGAAGTGAAAATAAATGAAAACCTTGCAATCATTATTGATCAATAACCTCAGCAAATACTTATTCTCATTCCTTCGTTTGGTTAACCTTGTCACTTTTTTTTTTCTTGAATGATCCATAAAAATTAATATTATCTACGAACCTGTATGAGTTCGTGTATGTCGACTTAAAAGTGAAGGTCTATCAAACATTTTGCCACATACATCACAGGTCCATGATTTACGTTTACGTCGATTATTGTTGATATAATTATCTGATGATTGAATCTTTTGAAAAGAAAAAGAATTAAGACAA